CACGCATGCGCGGTGGAGCTGAGCTGGGTGATGGCTTGCGTGCCCGCAGAGAGGGCTCTGCCTGCCAGCTGTGGCACCTGTGCCATAGGTTCACCATCATTTATTTATTTATTTATTTATTGGTTCGATTTATATGCCGTCCTTCTCTGGAGGCTCAGGGCGGCTTACAATGCATTAAGCAATAGCCTTCATACTTTTGTATATACCTGCTTAGTAGGGTTTTTTTGCTCCCCCAAGCGGTGTTCTTTTTTATACAAAGTCAGCTTATCATGGGTCTATACCTTCTCTATCTTTCTGAACAACTTTGTGTGAAGGTCTGATTGACCAACACCATAGCGGGTGGTGGAGGTTGTTTTTATAGGCGATGGGTTTTATGGGTTCATTTGAGGAACCTGGATTTCATTAGATTTCCTACCTTTTTCTTTACCTACCTACATCTCCTTTGGCTCTTCACTCATAACTCTTTTTTTGAGCATTGCATTATGTTGCTTACCCTGAATGGGGTTATGAATTGGGGTGTATGTCTCTGTCCATACTAATTTTTTTTAAGGAAAAATCCATGGAGTAAGAATAAGAAATGAGGTAACATCTCCCAAAAATTGCTTTATATATTGGAATCTACTTTTGAAGTGGTTTTAAGAATCTTTGTGTGTCACCACCAAAGAGAATAATGGAAGGTCTTAGGAAGAGAAGGAGGGAGGGAGGGAGGGAGGGAGGGAGGGAGGGAGGGAAGGAAGGAAGGAAGGAAGGAAGGAAGGAAGGAAGGAAGGAAGGAAGCAGTGGGAGGGAGGGAGGGAGGAAGGGAGGAAGGAAGGAAGGGGAAGGGAAGGGAAGGGAAGGGAAGGAAGGAAGGAAGGAAGGAAAAGTGGGAGGCAGTGGGAGGGAGGGAGGAAAGAAGGAAGGAAGGGGAAGGGAAGGGAGGAAGGAAAGAAGGAAGGAAGGAAGGAAGGAAGAAAAGTGGGAGGCAGTGGGAGGGAGGGAGGAAGGAAGGAAGGAAGGAAGGAAGGAAGGAAGGAAGGAAGGAAGAAAAGTGGGAGGCAGTGGGAGGGAGGAAGGAAGGAAGGAAGGATGGAAATAAAGAAAAATGGGAGGCAGTGGGAGGGAGGGAGAAAGGAAGGAAGGGAAAGGGAAAGGAAGGGAAGGAAGGAAGGAAGGAAGGAAGGAAGGAAGGAAGGAAGGAAGGAAGGAAGGAAGGAAGGAAAAGTGGGAGGCAGTGGGAGGAAGGAAGGGAGGGAGAGAGGAGAGAGAAGGAAAATGGAAAGTGGGAAGAGGGGAGAAGGAGGGAAAGAAAGGAGAGGAGAGGAAAGAAAAGGAGAGGAAGGGAGCCAGGGAGGCATAATAATGGGTAGGAAAGTTCACCAAAAAGCACTTTCCGTGTCTGTTATTTAATAAAGCCAGATATATTATTGGACATGAAAGGAGACATTTGAAACCAAGGACTGGCTGAAGGGTAACCCTGCCCGGAGTTTCCCTCACAAGTTCCTGAAGTGCTTTAGAAAGACACATGAAAATTTCCTCAAGGACGGCAACTGACCATATTAAGATGTCCTCCCCCACCCTTCCAGTGTGGAGAAGTGGTTAAATGTTTTCAAACCAGGCCTGCTCTGGCACTGAGCTATGGGCTTTCTCCTCTCAGCTTGCTGAAAGAAGGGGATGGTTTCGATTAAGTTAATGAAAGAAGACAACAGAAAAGAAAAAAGAAAAAGCGGGAAGGAAGGCTAGTGCGTGCTCTGAGCTGGGATTCTCTATTTCTTGCACAGGCCATGCGTCACTCCCTTCTCCCGTTGGGGCAAGGAAACGGGAAATGGAGGTCTGTTAATCCCTGGGGAATATCCAATGCTATACAGAATAAGAATAATGGCATGTGGGCTTTGAGGTGGTGGGTCTGAAACCCTTGGAAATCTCATTTGTTAAAACTGACAGATTTAGGACCGTCTCAGAGTTCCCACATCATGGTAAACTATTATGCTTTCTTTCAGGTTCACTCTTAAGGTCTTCTGCGATCCTAGTCATCAGCCATTGGGAATAGCATAATATGCTGAGGTGGGTTTCAGCAGGTTCTGACCAATTCTGGAGAACCTCTAATAGAAATTTTGAGTAGTTTATAGAACCGGTGGTAAAAATTCTGACTGGCCCCGCCCCCATCAATTCTCTGCCTCCCAAGTCCCAGCTGATCAGGAGGAAATGGAGATTTTGCAGTAACCTTCCCCTGGAGTGGGGAGGGAATGGAGATTTTACAGTATCCTTCCCCTGGTGGGAGGAAATGGGGATTTTGCAGCAACCTTCCCTGGATGGGGAGGAATCTAGATTTTACGGTAACTTTCCCTGGGGTGAGGTGGGAATGGGATTTTGCAGTATCCTTCCCCTGGAGTGGGGAGGGAATGTAGATTTTACGGTAACTTTCCCCTGGGGTGAGGTGGGAATGGGGATTTTGCAGTAACCTTCCCTGGAGTGGGGAGGGAATGGAGATTTTACAGTAACTTCCCCCTGGAGTGGGGAG